GCCACTCCCACTTCCCCTGATCCCCTGATCACCCTCCCTGTGGGATACAGGTGGATGATGGGGGAGAGGGGGGGAAGGGGGGGCGGCTTTGCGTCAGCGAGAATCCTGTCGGTGGGTTCATCGTGGGACACACTGTGCTGCTTGGTCCGTGACTGGACCAGGGGATAGATATGCCTAGGAACATCGAGTGAAAAGAGAATAGGGGATTGGGAAATGGAGAAGAAATACAAAACAAAAGCTTGGGATGGGCCAAAAGAGGGAGGCAGACTCACTCAAGGCACTCTCGCCAATGCCCCAAAAGGCCCCAATCCTCTTCAGAATCAGCTTCAACATGGACAGATAGTTGCCGTGGTTCCCCGGCTCGAACAGCAGCGCGGCCCGGATGTTGTCAAAGGCCGGTCCGATGATGGTGCACGACACAAACGGACACGCGTAGATGAGGTATTCGGGCGGCCAGGCCTCCATGGCCCGGAACACGAGATACGTATCATTGTGCGGGCCGGAAGGGAGCGCCGTCACCGCGGCCGGGTCATGTAGCTCGGTTTGGGACTTGATATACTGTGCATTTCGGACGAGGACGCGGGCACTATAGAAAGTCGGGAAGGTGTTAGTATCGATCATCACTTTGTCGATATCAACAGGTTGGCGGCGGAAAAAAGACGCACGTGTGGAGCATGAATATCGTGAGCAGCGCCCAGTTATTGCCAGCAAAGCTGCCCTCATTGAACGGCGTGCGCACAAAGTCGAGTTGGAAGCCCTGGGGGAGGAGCAGGGAGAAGCAGTTCAAGGTCGAGCCGAAGTTGACAATGTCCTGCAAAGTGAAGCTGTTCTCGGGAGAGGCGAGATCCGCCGCCCTGGCCATCAGGAGGGTCGTAACCAGGAACCACGCCCGTTCGTCCGCGTCCGCACAGTTTTCCAACGTCTGCCACTCGTGGAGGAAGCCCGTCTGAAGCAGGATCGACTCCGTGGGTGTCTCGGAGAACCATGCTGCGTCCGACACTGGGAGCAAGACGTGCATTTGGTCCTTGTTGATCGCGTGCGGCCGACGCAGGATGGTGGCGGCGAACACGTCCAGTTCCCACACCAGCCACCACGCCCGTCTCTTCTCCTCCTCGTGGACCCAAGAGTCTTTCGCTGCCGACAACTCGTGCTCGGCGTCGGTGTTGGGCGGTGTGGCGAACGTGGCGATTTCGGTGGTGACGAGAGCGTCCTTGTCCACTTCGTTCAGGCCCAGGTCGATCGCAAGTCGACAACAGGTGCCTATCAGGAGCCAGCTCTGGGTCGTGATTCGGTTCGACTGCTCGTAGAACGCCAGGAGGATACACCCCTGGAGGAATCCGAGAGATATATCGTTCCCCTCGTCACTTCCCTGCTCGTCACTCTGGAGAGCCTCCGCGTAAAGAGCGTTGGCTTTGCGGGCGAACATTTTACCCTTGTCCTTGGACGGTGTGGACGAGAAGAAGTCGTTGGTCGAGAACCTCGCCGACAAGGCCATCATGGCTGTCACGATCAAGGCATTTTCGAGAGACAGCCTCGCGTATCTGTCATTGTCGTTGCTGCCGACACGGAACTTTTGGCGGAGTCTCGGTTCGTGAAAAATGGGGATAGAGGGCTGCACGCGTAAGAAGAACAGGTCGATTCTGAGAGGAAGATAAGAGTCCATGCGTGTCAGTCAAGGTTCTCACACGCAATATTTGAGAGCCTGGAAATGAGGGGATCAAAGTGGATTTCAAGGGATACTTACAATTCATCTACTAACGTTGGTGGGAATGCGAGTGTGCAGGAATTCCTGTCTGCGAGGTTCAGATCTTCCGACAGACTGTGTGCGGAGCCTGACCATGCATCGCCTAATGGAGAAAGGAAAAGGTCAGAAGATCCATATCACACTCTCAATAACGAAGGGGATTCAGATGGCAAGACAGACGGGGAAGAAATAGAGCCTGCTACTGACCATAGTGCTCGCTCGGGTTCAGGAAACTGAACATTCCATAACTGTCAGTGAAGGGACTAAAGGTCATGTTCCCAAGCCAATTATGAGAGTCGTGCGACGGGCTTTCGTGTTGTCCTCCGACATCCAAGTGATCAGGAATATGACCTTCGCTTGGGTCCAAGGCATTCGGCGGGTTCGGGGTGTCTGGTACAATCGATGGTGGTAGTGATGGTAATGATAGCGAGATCTCCTGTTCTTGCTGATCCTGGTAATTTGGATGGTCCCGAACTTCCTTGTGGGATGGTGAAGATTGAGATTCAATCGTTGTCGTTACTGCCCGTTGCTCTCTCCGTTGAAGAGCACCACGTAGGACATCTAGGTCGACACTATCCAGCAGCCCTTCTGCGTGCAGAACCGTTAGCCTCTGTCTTCCATCTTCTTCGGGAAGATTAGCCCCTACGGGCATATCAAGATATGTCAAGGGTGGATTCCTGCGAACCTAGCTGACCTGCCTGGTTTGAATCTACCAGCTTTCGTCGAAGGCTTTGAAACTTCGTCTCCAGGGTCGTGCGCTTGCGGCGGGTGGGATATACGCAACGCGAGCCTGATTGCTGGCATCGATGGCATTTTGGGGTTTTCTTGTCACCTGTACACCATATTAGCCACTGCTTAGGCTTACTGCAATAGAATATAGACAGCGACGTACATTTCGCCTTTTTACTTGTTTGCGACACCTTGTTAGCATAGATTCCTTGTCCTAGCTTGCCCACCTACCGGTTACATTCCTCGCAGGACCTTCCCCGTGGTTGATCAAGCTTGCCAGTTGTCATCCCTCTCTCGAAAGCTCACGTGGCTTGAATAATGCAGGTGGAATATTTCTGCCCAAGATCTATCGACGTTGCTTGATGGGAGGTGGAAAGTGAACAGAATACGGAATGGCAATCATATCACCACATTCAGGGGAGATGTCCGCCGCTGGGCCAGGTATCGAATACTTGGAGAGTCACATCCAATACCGATGAGTATACGACGATAGGGACGAGGATCACACCCGATTAATATGTGCCCGAATGCTCAGCTATGCGGTTCAACATAGCGCATTTCGTCGTTATCCATGTAGAGGAAACAGAAGATGCAAAGCAGTCGGCCACTCTACAGTGCTGACTGGTGAACCTGGGGTCATACTGTGGGGAAGAGGGGAGAACAATCTGAACAGGTCTATCGAGGGCAAGTGAAAATGCCGTCCCCACCCGGGCCGCCAGCCACTTAGAGAGACTTATCAACTATATGGGCACGTGCCGACTCCACCCAAGGAGTCAATTAAAATGGATCTAGTACTAAATAGTGTTAGCCGCCTTCTTGAAATGGTTTTGTCTCTAGCCTTGTTCGATGATAAACTGATTGTCCCCTGCCAACCCAACACAAGTAGCCATACCATCAACGCATTTCGGCAAGTCTTCACACTCTACCAGAGACGTCTAATCGTCGTGAACTGAGCATCTTCGAACGCTGGCAAGCATCATCACTGAAACCGTCCCTGTCATCACTTCCACCTGAGTTCACACCGCTCTCCAGCGGGCTGTCATCTTCAACATGACGTTGCGTGGGAACGGCACCTCCATTACTCTTTCTTGCTTCCCTCGGCTTGAGTCCCAAGGGAGATCCGACCGCGCGGCACCTCTTCCGGGCCCACAATGTTCTCTCGATCTGGGATGATTCCCAAGTGCTCGCACAAGGCTCTGCAAGCAGCGCGACAGAACCAGATAGTCGAACGATGCACCCCATTTCAGCAGAGCCATCACATCTATCTACATCTAGACGATATTGCAGCTCTCAAAATCTCAATGGCAGACTTGGCACCAAGGATACCACCGTCTCTTGTCTTTAGACGTGGACGACATCAACACCGGCATTCGCGAATGCCGGGGCCCACCAACCATCGTGATCAAGCGTCCTAGCAGGGTCTTGAGCCAAACCAATCGGACCCTTCTGCTTCTCGTTGGACAGAGGCATTAGCTAACAACTACCAGCCGGAGGGTGAACGAGCCCTTGCTTTACAGCTAACTCTCATCAGGGACGTCTGGGTAGGGCACGGACCCCACGGATGTTGCCTGTACACCTTTGTCGCTGGCGCTTGAAGCCATCCGACAACCTTTCCAGCACCGGAAGGTGCTCCCTCCATACAGCGAATTGATCACTTCAAACCGAAGCGGTCTTTGATCTTCAGCCATGAGTTATATCCTCTTTCCGCGAGCACTTCGGGACCAATCGACTCCTTGTGCTCGTCCCGATGAAACATCTCCATACTCACCCAGCCGTTCCACCCCTTCTCCACGAGCCAAAGTTGCAGAATATTGTCTAGTGGGAAATAGGCACCATACTCAGTCTCGTATGGAAATAGTCTTCCCCAGACACACCAATGCATGGTGGCATCCCAATGGGCCCATTCGGCCTTGTAAGCCTCATGGCCCGCAATGAGTGGCTGCTTCAATCTCTCAGCATCACTGAGTTGGAGATAAAAGATCTTTTCAACCGGACACTGCTTCATGAATCGGTCAAGTGTGGACTTGAGCGCCGCATATCCTCCTGGAGCGATACCTGTGCCTGTGCCGGACGCTGCATGCGGGTCTGCCCAAACCCTCGCGAGGACATGGTAAGTGTCGAGGCAGAGACCGAAATTCGATCGATCCACGAGCTTGACGATGCGGATCGCATCGTCCATTAATGCATGGTGCACGCCCCACGCCAATGCTTCGAATGCGAAGAAGATGTCTTTCTCGCCGGTCTTCGTCGGTTGACTCCCCAAATCAGCGAGGGCACGGAGCTCTGCCACGATAATATCTTCGTTGCCCGTCGAATCCATCTCATATGTTGTTGGTACTTGGATAATCGTTGTTCCCATCGCCCGAGCCAGAGAGATATACTCGCGGGCGGATTGAAGTCGAGTTTCCAAAGGCGTGAGAACGCCGGCAAAGTTAAACAGTGGCTGGAGCGCTATGATGGCGATGTCTCTGTCTTTGCACATTCTGCCTACTTCCGATGCGGCTTCCAAATGCGTCAGGGAATGTTGCTCTGCAAAGGTGACCAAGTCTGGGTGATAGAGCTCTATCCCCTCATACCCTTGTTGGGATACGGCATCGAGTTTTCGTTCAAGAGTGTGCGATGGATGCCAGCCGAGCGAGACTGTAGCGATTCCGAGCTTGTGTCTTTCTGTGGTCATACTTGCTGACAATACGGCCATTGGCCTATCGCCCACCCGGATGATAGCAGAGAGCCAGAATCGCGGAACGAGACGTGTCTTGTCACTGTTAATGTACGACCAGCAGTTCTTGAAAAGAGATTCAACCTCGCGTATTTTAATCGGCAAATACAGCAAGCTCCTTGCCGGCCTTTTAAAGAATCGACGTTGATGACCAAAGATCTCCAGACCATTTGAGAAAAAGGTTTCGAGTCAAACCACTGCACTCGTCCATTTCCCAACAATCCAAATGTTCTGGCCGGGACCATGTCTAGCGGCAATTCTACAAGCCGGATACGAACCATCCTCGACGGGGTTCGCAGAATCCGACACGAATACCCCGGAATATGGCTCAGCAAAATGGGGAAATGGAGAGGGAACTAGCTCTGGGACATCTGGTGTCCGATTCTGGGGTTCCGGACTCTGTGTTGACGGTGGCGCAGACCCGGAGGTTAGCCTCGACCAACATTCTCGATATAAATCGCGAGTGATTTGCCACTCTACTATCGAAAGCTCCATATTCGACGTCTTGCATCCTGCTTCAGAGGTGACTACCGCGATCAAATCCACAGACAGACAACAAGATGACATTTGCTGCTGCCCACAAGAGACTGAACTGGCGGACCTTCTGGTGCTGCTTTTTCTTGTCACTGGGCAGTTTCTGCTATGGCTATGCAGCTTCAATCGTGAGGCTCCTCTCCATTCTCCCGGAATAAGTTCTGGAAGCAAGAAGGAAAGCCAACTTGCCCTGACTGTCCTCCTAGATCTCCACGACTCTCGGCCAACCGACCTTTCTGTCATATATGCATCTGATTGATGCGGACGGCAATCCAGCCCCGAACCAGGCGGCGTTGACGGGTACTACAGTGGGCTTGTTTTGTGTATGTACAGGTCTTCTGTCTTTTGTGTGCTTGACCATGTTTCCGTATGGCTAACTTTCACTCCTGTTCCAGACTGGAGGATGTATAGGTGTCCTAGCTGCCAGCTGGTCCCTCGACCGGATCGGCAGGAGACCAACCATGATAGCCCTTGTGGCCATCTACATTCTAGGCACCGTTTTGGTCACAGCCTCTCAGAACATCGGCATGTTCATTGTTGCGCGGACAATCCTTGGGTTTGGGGCAGTCTCCTTTATCGCGGCCAGTACGTCCTTCCTACATGCACGCAACGAAAGAGACTGACTGCAGGGTTCCAATGACAGCATCCACATACATCGCCGAACTCTCCCAGGCCGAGACACGGGGATTCTTCACTGGTCTGACCGGCGTGGCCATTGCCGTTGGCTACACCACCGCTGCGTTGATGGGCCTCGCCTTCTCCTACACGGCAAACCCGGGCGTGCAATGGAGGACGCCTCTCGGGCTGAGTCTGGTGCCCTCTACCGCTCTGCTGGCTGTGCTGTTCTGGGCCCCCGAGTCTCCCCGGTACCTGCTCCTCAAGGGCCGAGTCGACGAGGCGTGGCAGACTGTGAGCAGACTGCACCACGACCCGCAGGACGAGAACCAGGAGTACATCAAGGAGGAGTTCTTCCAGATGCGGACGCAGCTCGAGTTCGACCGGACCCTCGACTCTTCGTGGTTTCACCTGTTCTCCAAGCCCTCGTATCGGAAGCGGATGCTCATGGCCAGCCTGGTGACGTTTCTGGGCCAGAGCACCGCCGTCCTCGTCGCTGCGGCCTACGTACGTCTTCCGTTGCTCTCCTCACTTGACTTGGTTGCACCGCACGAGACAGAAGCGAATACTGACATGGCTTTCTCTCTGTGCAGGGCCCTTCTCTTTACGCCTCGCTGGGGTTTAACGTCAAGCAGAGCCTGATACTACAGTGCGGTTGGATCGCAGGTAGGTCCGCACAGGGTCACTTCACTGGGACTCTTTGTATTTTTTGCCCCATGGGTCTTCTTTTCTAACACTGTGGGGTCGACAGGCTCTATCCCCGCCGCCATCATCGGCGTCACATTGTGCGACAGGTTCGGCCGCAAGCCCTTCATCATGGTAGGCTACGTGGGCTGCGTCGTGTCCCTGGCGATCCTCACGGCCATGGAAGCCATCTACGCGCCCACGGCGACCAACAAAGTCGGCCTGGGCTGGGCGGTCACGGCCCTGTACCTCATCGTCATCTTCTACTGTGTGGGCGTCGAGGCGTGCGGCGCCCCGTTCTACTGCGAGATCTTCCCGACGCACATCCGGGCCAAGGGCGTGTGTTTCTGCGTCTTTGTCAACAGCGCCGCCAACCTGCTCTACCTCGAGGTGGCGCCGACTGCGCTCCAGAACATTGGATGGAAGTTTTTACTGGTGAGTTTTTCTGTTGCGCCTTGCCAAAATCGAAGTCAGCAAGCCAGCCATTTAGCATGTTAGCTGGCTAGCTGGCTCGCTAGCTGGTCAGCAGACTTCCGAAAGACCCTGTATGAAACTAACTTCTCCCCGGCTAGGTCTTTATCTGCGTCCTCTCCGTCGGCTCGGTGCTCTACTGGTTCTGGGTGCCCGAAACGAGGTCGGTGCCGCTGGAGGAACTCGCCGCAATCTTTGGCGACACGGACGAGGTCAAGATCTACTCGACCGACATCACCGTCATGGGCGACGGCCAGGTCGCCATCGAGGAACATCTTGGAAAGAGACAGGGCGTGGATGTCAAGGTGGCGGCGGCAAAGGAGGGGACTGAGGTCGTCCTGCACGAGAAGGTCTGAGTGGGTGTGTCCTGCCCAGTCCAGCCCAGTCCAGCACTGCACGGCCCAGCCCCACGAAGTGGAAGGTAAACGGGCCTTGGATTGCTGGGGACTTTGGGGGCAGGGAAACACAGTAGAGCGGGGACGAGCGGTAGGCGGTGATATTGAGGTAGAAGAGTCTGCTCTCAGAAGTACAGAAAGACAGAACGGGAGGAGGAAACTTATTGATCTATCAGTCAGTTTTCGAGGTACCCGGTATATATCGAGTATACTGGTAAAAGCGTGAAAAAGACATCTCTCGATCTAGTCTCTCAATGAGTAGGATACATCCTCACGTCGATCTTTGAGCCCATTTGCTTTCTCTTTCCCATTCATTCCATTTCTCGTCCCTCATGTCTATTCATATTCTTCGTTGTTCTCCAGCTCCAGCTCCAGCTCCGTCTCCGTCCAAGTGTCTCTCATTCCTCCTACTCGTAACCACTCTTCCATTCATTCCAATCTCTTGTCAACACTCGATTCAGGGACGTCGACCGACGATGAAGAACCGTCCCCAAAATCCTTTTCAAACGACGGCTTGATCCACGTCCACTCGGACAAGCGGTGGAAAATCTCGATGACTCCTGAGAGAAGACAAGAAAAGAGAAATCCGAGGTCAGTCAGTGAGCCCAGTAATCAAGTGAATCAGTAAGACAGTTGCCAACGCCGTTCAAGGAGTTCGGGAATCATGATAGCTAAGAGGCGGAGGAGGGAGGAAGAGGGGATGTGAACACAAGTAGATGGTGATGATGACAAAAGTGAGCTCCTTACGCGGTTTGATCCAGAGATGCTCCGTGGCTTGCAGATAGGGAATGTAATACGGCTTGTGCAGTTGAACCTACATTGCCCAACAAGTGGGTTCAGGTATATGGTTAGCACAGATACTAGACCCGCAGGCCTCACATCTCGTCAACTCCGAGAGCGAGCCTGTACAGTCCCCCGGACGGCGCGGACGGCAGCGTACCTCATCCAAATACCGCCTCGACGCGTTCCACCCCTCCTGGATCCGAATCGTGCCCGGCTCGTCCGCGTCCTGCACGACCTGGCAGAAATCGAGGCGCGGGTCCTTCCACGCCTCGGCGAAGAGGGTCCGGCACGCGTCCAGTGCGAGGGGGACGTGTTCGGGCGCGAAGAATAGGGTGACGTGGACGATGAAGCGGTTGGGGATTTTTTGTGGTGGTGGTGGCGGTGACATTGTTGGTGGATTGTATTGAGATTGTATTAAATTGGGATTAAATTGGGGAGTTGGATTTGGTACGAGCAGATATACTCACACGGTTGTTGAGATGGCGGGTAAATATCTGTCGAGATGTGTGAGACAGTCCATCTCATGAGCCAGGACACGGTAGTGCAACGAAATATGATTACATGTGATTACCACGTCAGTTGCTTCTCACCTCGTAGGCATGGAGCACCGAGCAGCATGCAACATGCATCTGGTTGGTTTGTACTCCAGCCAAAGCGCGGCGACGGCGAGAGTGTCGGTGTCGATCACAAATCATTGACCCTCCATTTACCCTCCATTGCAAGTGCCCGGCCCCGGGATTCGTGGGTGCCGGTTTCCTTCATGGATCGATCAATGGCGCCGAGCAATACCAGATACATACATTACCTATCTGAGAAGATATGGAGCCGATCGCGACGGGGGACGATAGGTTCTCAGTCTCCGGAGTTTGGAGGTGTTTTGGGGGAAATAGTTACAAGGTCATGAAGGCGATGGGACGATTAGACGTCAATAAACGCAGTTCCACAAGGCTCTAGGTGTAGTGACGCGCACGGCCTGCTTACCCAGTAGTCTACACCACGAGCATATAACATGTCACGGGAAAAAAAAGTCAAGCAAGGGTGATGAGGCAAAAACACAAAAACTTTTGATATTCAAGATACCGAAGATCGAGTACCGTATTCCCTTCCCCAAGACAAGATTCATCAATAACACAGTTGAGCCTGGAACATAATTGACAACCCTGGACTAGTAATCATCCACCATCCACCAAAAGTCACCGCCAACGAGAGTGAAAACCACAGGAACCTCGACCTCATACACAGGGATCCAAAACATCCAACAATAGAGAGACAAAGTCAATCCACATCCTAACCCATCCCAGCCCAAGTCATCCCTTCCCCTTGTATTCATGCCAAAATATATCCAGTCTTGACCCTTCCCCTAGACCGAGTACACATTTCCACAGAAGATGACAGTAATAAACAATAAATAGTGCAGACTGAGAGCACCAAAGCGAAAAAGGATCAGAATGTCTATGTACATGAGGATCAAAGGAAGGCGTAATGCATTTGAACCTAACCCGTGTCTTCCATCTGGGCAGCTGGCGTCGTTCATGGTCGTGTGTGTCATGTCATGTCGTGGCATCCTTCAATACTGGGGAAACCCAAAGTTGGAATCCTCAGAGGCAAAGTTAAAGCCGCTGGCGTTGGCGTTGTACATGGCGTTCTGGGAGGTGGGGTCGACGTTGACATATGCGTCGGCATTGAGCATGTTGTCGTAGAACAAGGGCTCTTGCGAGAGGTCCAACATGGGCATGGCTTGGGTCTGCATCATGTCGTCGTCGGTGAGCTCGTAGTTGGCGCTGTCCAAGCCGCCGTTGTTGTTGTTGGTGTTGCTGGCACTCGACGCGCATTTGATGTGTTCATTCACCACAGCAGCCTGAAAGGTCGTGTCGGGGACGTTGATATCTTGGATGATCACGCGGCCGTTGACGTTGAGCTCAAGCTCTTCGTACATCCAGTGCTTGAGAAACTCCATGGGCGGTGTGTTGCCGCCACCCATGCCGCCGCGACCCTCGCTCTTCTTGCCTCGCCCCCCACGTCGATTCTTGCACGGGTTGAAGTGGGCGCGGCGCAAGTGGGCGGCGGCGTTGTAGTTGGCCCCGTACGTCTTGCGGCTGCGGCACGCCTTGCAGTTGGACAGGAACTTGCCGTCGGCCGACGCGTCCTTGCAGATCCAAACCCGGCGCACCTGGGAATGGTGCCGCTCGATGTGTCGACGAAGCTCGTGGTCGCCGTGGAAGCCCTGAGGTTGATCGTTACAGAACTGGCAGAAGGTCGTCTTACGAGGAGGTTGTTGTCGGACCGTGCGCGTGATCTCGGCCTTGTGTTTTACTGTACCGTCGGCGCCCTGGACGGCGATCAGTTTCGGTGCCGGGATCTCGGCTGAGTGCAACGACGACGACGACACCGGGTGAGCACGCTCCATCTTGGGAGCCAGTGGTCGTGAGACTGTGTTACTGCTACGAGGAATGACTTCTTGTGGAAGTCCTCGTGCCGACGACATATGAGACTCTGACAAAATAGAAACCGATGAAGCATCACTTCCAGAGGAAGGTGATTTCTTCATCTCAAAACTAGAAGGAGAGGATGATGACTGAAGCTCATCATCAAAGGAAAAACGCGAAAACTCATTGTAACCGACAGAAGAAGTAAAGGAAAATTGTCGCGCCGGCTCGTTATCCTGGGGATACCGAGACTCGGCCATCATGCTGCTCGAGGCTTTGTGATCTTTCGGCATCGACATCGAGTCCATGCGAAACATCCCAAAGCCCTCGCAGAGAACATCATTTGTGTTGCTTCGAGACATGGGCTCCGACAATACGGTTGACGGAGCTGTCATGCTCGAATCACTAGTCGCCGTCATGGGAGTAAAAACTCCTCCTGGCGACTCTATCGCTGAAGAATACGGAGATGTGAGCTGAGCCATCTGGTTGATGTGGAACTCACCGCGCTCCACCACTGTGGGAGGCGTCAACGAGATGGTTGGGGGCGTCTGATGGAAGTCGTCCGAAGTAGACTTGGCGAGAAAGTCCGCCGGAGACATGACCTGAACCTCTTCAATGAAGTGCAGGTTGGATCCCAAGTATCTATTGGGGTATGAGGCGGCTGTGGAACCTCTCCGCTGCCAACTGTTGCGCCGGGGGATGGGCATTGGCTTGGTCGTCGCCGTCGTCGTTGTCGTCGTCGATGTCGTTGGGGGAAGAGGTGAAGTTCGAACCAAGGGTCTGCTTGGCTGGGTCCGCGAGGCCGACTGACCAACAATGGGAGCTGAGACGTGTCGCTCGAGGACATGGGCCGTAGGTGCCGACGAAGCCAGGGATACTGCCTTCTTTCTCGTCCGTCAACCAAAAAGGAGCGTGGGTAAAGTCAACAAAGGGGACGTACATGGACACTACGTTTGGACGCTGGTTCCATATCACCAACCATCGCAGAGGATGCAGGTCGTTTGGAGGGAACCGAAGAACCGAATTCATAGGTCGAAGTCGTAGGGGAGTTCCTCATCTCAACATTCATCGAGTTCCAGTAACGTGAGACCTGTTCGAGCTCGTCGGGAGAGAGATGCTGGATGGTCTGCTCGTAGGCGGCACGACAAGACCGAAGAAGCTCAATGACTTGATGAGCACCAGAGTCCATGTTGTCGGCCATGGAGTAACCAAAAAGTAGAGATATCCAATTGGAAAAAGTGATGGCACTCCAAAAGAAGAATGGCAAGCAGCCAATCTGAAGGTGTGGTCAGTCAATTGGGGCTCCAGACAATCAGTTTGTCCTCCCCGATAAATGTAAAGAGACTCACAGTTGACGTTCGAAGAGGTAATAGAATATAGTGGATCAGTACAACAAAGTCCTTCGGAATCCAATTACAAGGGATCGACGAAGGTGAAAAATGATGTGGTGAAGGGTCGTGTCAAAAATTGGGGTTGAGAAACAGCCTTGGGAGAAAGGAGGGACAGGCTCGGGGTGTTATAGGACTGCTTCATTGCCAGGTAGATGAGCGACGAGAAGTCCATGTGGGGATGCCAGTCTCCCTGACAGAACATGTGCCAGGACTCTAGGAGAATAATGACGGCAAACTGCCGCTTGGGCAAACTCGAGGACCACCAAGTCGGGGCAACACGTCCAGGGGGGCTTTTGCTGATCTTTGGGGGAGGGGGGGGGGCCATGAGCAACAGACGTTCCCAGGATTCTGATGGGTTGTAGAAAGTACCCGTCGCCTGATTCCCTTGTTCGGACGCCTCTTTCTAGGCACTTTTTGAGCCTAGATGCGCCCACCTTCCGAGCATTCCATTCGCCTGTTCCATGCCAACTTCCCTCGGGGTCTGTGGCTCGTATCTGGGCGCGGGTCGACCCTGGTCCAGCCGGGTTCAAGTGAACCTACTCGGTTCACACTCACACACTCACATACATTCTCTCTGGATTGCTTCATCGATATCTCAATCCTCGACTTACACGTCCGAGTATAGCATAGCTGAGTACCAATTCCCCCTTCTTTACTGCCCGC